TTCTGCCCGCCCCCCGCCCCCCACCAGCCCGGTCTCCAAATCTTCTAAGGAGGTTCAGCTACAGTTGTCGTGGACTTGTCTCTTGTGGAAACTCAGGGTCAAGCCTTTCCTTTAGCTGTCACTGTTTTAAAAAGGCAATCCTAGCTGAATTGAGAAGACTGACCTCTTTCTTGGTTTTTCAAAAAGCCTTCAGAACACCTCTTTTTGAGCAGGTTTTTACTTGTGAAGATTTTAATTCATTTTTAATATTCTTCATTTTATCTGGCTTTACAGTTTTACTGTAAGTGGATGCAAAACTTAAATAACTGGTATGTCAAAACCTAAACAGCCCAAGTAAGAAAGTAAATAGATGGATAAGCAATGAAACAGCACCCACGACTGTTATTGCAATAGTAATTATCGCATCGGACATAATGCACTATTTCAATAAATAGCAGTTTTCATTTGGATTGGAAGTGAGCAATTTCATTTAGGACAGTGGCTTTGGGAAAAGTCCCTCACCCTCTTAAGATGATGTGGTCCAGCTCTGACTTCTTGCTGGGATACTATTTAACAAACTACAAAGCAAAACAAGACATTTTCAATTCAAATCTGCTTAAAGACAGAATGCTTTCTATACAGAAGCATTTTTGTGAATGATCACAGGATTTTTTTTAAAAAATGGCACGATTATGAAAGCTGTGAATAACAATATAAATAGTCTGATGCTATTTTCTGCCACACAAAATCTATGTTTTTCCATAGTTGGCAAGAAAATCAAAAGATGCAAAACGATAATCATTCATGGAACAGAAAAGTCAGTAAGTACCAATCTTGTATTTAGCTTATCTATTAAAATGACAATTGAACTGTGAGCTAATATACTATTTCATACCTCCTAATCTGCAAATTCTCAAAATTGGCAATATTTTTGTTTGCCTTTTCAATCTAGCCATTGAGTAGACTGTTATTGGTCACTATTTCATCAAGAATGCCTCTGGACCTGAGTTGGCCACAGAAGCATGATTGAAAATAACTATGTTAGAGGTGGGTATTTTGTTTGCAGCCATGTTTCCATTTATTAATTTTTAACAAAAATAATCTTTGTAGTAACATTAAAGGCCAGTGGAGTAGCACATGGCAGACACTGAGGGGAACAAGTGCTATTGGAATCCCTGGGCACCATATTTATTTGTTGAGTTTATAAGCTGCCAATAATTGTTATTGTTGCCAATTCTTAGGACCTTACATAATTAAAACAATGCATAAGAACAAATAAGACAAGAATCAAATAACTGCAACAACCCAAATAACAACACACCCATAACCACTTATAATTTATTAGCCAAGGAACAATAACACTACATTAATGACAAACATATCACCACTTTAAGAAGGAACAACTTCATAAAATATCCACCTCCAAATGCGTCTTGGGATGGCCAAGTTTAATGGCTCTCCTAAAATCTAGCAGGTTGGGACCATATGGATCCTGGGGGGAATGCTGTTCCCAAGAAGGAGGTAGCAACTAAATAATCTCACCTTCATGGACCCTGTTGATGGTGTTCTCCCAACCCTGCATGTACACATATTCAATCAAACCTGAACACCTGATTTATGGTAGAAAAACAAGTTTGGAAAAGGAAGACTTTAATATGAAATTTTCCATAAGGACTGCCTGTCCACAAGAAAATCTATCTTCTTTCTTTCCTTGCCAATGGTCCTTAATGAATATCTGGAACCCCCAAGGAGGAAAGTGCCTGCCAGGAAGGATGGGAGAAGGAGGCAGAATGTAGCTATTACTGGCTGGAAAAATAGATAATGAGAGGCAATTTCCCATCTTCCTTAATTTCCTTAGAGTGTGGAAAAAGCACAGGTTCGTACATAATATCAATTATGAGAGTTTGTGGTTCTTCTAACTGTAAAACTGCTTTAAGCTGGAAAGAGTTCATAAGTGGTATGCTTAACATGCTTGGCTAATGTCCTAATATAATATTTCCAAGTAGCGTACTTCAGAACCTCATAACTCAAAACAGAATCAAACATTATGTCTCTTAAATACACAACTTTGAAGTCACATCTGAAATTACTGCTGGCACAGAAAAATAGATTTCTTGGAAATCTGGTACAAGTAGCTATGTGGGAAAACAAATCAAAGATTTCCTTTTGATATTGCACTTGTGGCACGTAATCTTTTGAATGGCAGCATAAGACCATTCAAATAGCTTTTTAAAAAAAGATAATTTTTTTCCCCAGAAATATTGCTCAATGGACAACAATTTGTATAAGCCTTGCAAGTTTGCCACAAAGTAGGAACACTTCATGAAATTTAGCATTTCTTTTATTTATGCCATTGCTTCTATGCAAAGGCTCAATGAGAATTTAATGTTTTAACTCTGTGTGTGTGTGTGTGTGTGTGTGTGTGTGTGTAATAAAACTTCCTCGTGAGAAGAGTGGTGTCTAAATTTGAAATATAAATAAATAAATAAACAAACAAACAAACAAACTATGTAATGCTGCTTGAGTTAGAGCATTTCATTTTAAAATTAATTCATTTTAATATTGGCTTAATTCATTTCATATGCTGCTGTTTTACTGAGGAACTCTGGGAAATGAAGCACCAGAAGAGACACCTGGAATGCCATTTGAGGAAGATTCAGAGCCCCTTATGAATGGTTTAGTGTGTATGTATGTATGCATATATGGTTGGCTGGATTTACCATCTTGTTCTTTATTTTGTTATTATCCTATTTTTTTGGCGGGGGGGTGGTTTTATCCTTTTTGAACTGTATTGTATTTTATTCCCTTTGCCATATTGTGAGCCGCCTAGAGTCATTCTGAAATTGGGCAGCTCCTAAATCAATTAAATTAAATTAAATTAAATTAAATTAAATTAAATTAAATTACTTTTATATTCTTACAATGTATTTAGAATAAATTAAAACAAATGAATACCTATGTCTTTTCCTTTTATTTATTGATCCTTCAAACACAGAATAAGATACTGAGACTCTTTCTGGAATGAGGGCTTATGTTGGGTACTTATTATCTTTACCCACCAAATCTTGAGAGAGCAATCTCAAACACATCTGGGGAAGATTTAAGATTCCCAGGAAATGTTTGAAAGGTGCTGCGCCTGGTTTACAAGTTCTTAAACAGGTCAGAACAGATTATCTGAAGAACCATCTGATCCTTATACTCTGGAAATGATATCCTGCAGATAGTACCCCAGCTTGCTGATGCTAACTTGGGTATATTAACAAGGTAGACATTTTCAGGAGTGGCACTTATTGGGTAGAACAACCTTCCTACAAAAATCAGGCATGCCCTAATGTGAAAGACTATCTGCTCGGCATCCCAAGTACTGAATTTGGCTCCTCTTTTTCAACCTCATTTATTCTTAGCCAAGCCTTTTATAAAGATAGGTTTATATTATCTTCCTTGATCACCACTTATTCTCTCATCAAAATTTCGTATTATCATGTTAATCTTACAAAATCTATTCTCCCTCAACCTCCCAACTTCTTCATATTTGTACCATAATGCATTATGTATTCTATATCCTTTAAACCTGATATTGTTCAACCCGTGCTGATTCCTCACACAGTGCACACACACACACACACACACACACACACACACACACACACATAGAG